GAAGAGAAAGGAAGAACAGCACACAGAAAAGAGTTCTTGTGATATAATGTTTACCAGTACTAATACAATGTGCCTTCAGCTCTTGCATTATCTGAGATTATGTGATTTTCCTGTTTACTTATTTACCTGTTTACTTCTTTATGCATTTTAAAAACTTGTAATCTTGGAAAGAACTAAGAAAATTTGAAGGGTGATCAGTTTTGTCATGCTGATCTAAAGAGAACCAATGAAAGATGGAGCTGCAGGTATAAAATGAAATAAGGGTTCTATTTTCACAACAAATAGTGCAGAATGACAGGCGTGATACTAAGCCAGTATCAGTTTCAGACTCTAACTTCAGTATCACATCACAGATCATTTGTAGTGTTTATTTTAGTATTCAAAGCAACAGAGTAGATTCTTTTTTTGCCTTGTAATCATTATACAGATGTGCTTACTTGAGGAAAGCCAAGTCTTCAGTGTTCAAGACTTCATAGGCTTGAGTTATTAAAAATAATAATAATAGTAATAATAATAATAATAAAAATAAATAAAAAACACCAAAAAAACCCAACAAAACAAAAATCCTATTCAATCCTATTCTCTTTATTCTTCAGGAAAACTATTCTTTTCAGTTATAAACAGTTTTGAAATTGTATTCTTTCTCATCTAATGAGAAAATTTATAGTAAAATAGTTCATTGACTTGAAGTGTACTGGCTTTTCTTAGATTGGTTTAGGATTAAGTCTTTGGAGAGAATCCACTCTTTCTTAACATGAATACTCTGGAAATAATACCTGTTTCTTCCCTGTGCATTTGGCTTTTAAATTGTGATGTACCTTCTACCTGTAAAGTAAATTATAAATGTTTTTCTTTTGTAGGGATCTTTCTGAATAGACTGTCCTTAGATCATTTATGAATGTCAAAAGATTCACTGGCTTTTTCTATACAACATTACTTGACTAAGATTTTTAACAAGCTGAATTCAAACAGGCTATCTGAGTATTCAGTGTATACATGGCATTACACAATTACCAGGAATTTCCAAGATCTTTTTACTTTGCAACTTCAACTAACATGCAAAAACAGTGTAGAATTCTCAAAAATCATAAATTAATTGTACTACTGAATAAAGTTGCATTGCTTTAGAGTATTAGTAGTTCAGAGTTAGCCAGGCATCAACTGTGTGCTGTTCTTGTGCAGTCCAGTCACTCCTGTGACTAAAATATATCAGATAAAATAAATAAAGTTGTGAAAAAGGTGGAGAGAAATATTATCGCATAAAAGCCAGACATAAGACAAAGAGTTGTCAGAGCATGCACAAGCATCATGATTCCTGTCTGCTTGGCACAAGTCATAGCAAAGGTGGGAGAAGCCTAATGGTGTGATGTAGTGCCATAGAGATGCCAGTCAGAGCTGTGGGTAGATGAAAAAGTGAAGGAGGAAATGAAAAAAGGGAAATCAGCTGTGCTAGGAGGAAGATTGTCTGAGTGTTGCAATGAGCTGTAGATATCAGACTCAGGGTGGAGTGTCTGATGTCAAACATGAAAGTAAGGCTTGAAAGACGGATCAAGGGAGAAATGCATTTCTGATCACTGCTGGACTGTGTGCTGCTCAATGCTGTAATGAGATGTCTGTAAGAGAAGACAGAGTGAAGTCTGGACTTCTCATGTTTTATAGGTTACTACAGCTTATTTCAAAAGGCTGGAAAAGACTAATAAAATGTGTTGGTGCTGTTTTTGTGCTAGTGGCTGGAGCAGATGGAAGATGTGCTGTGCTTTGGGGATAAGAGATAAAGGAAAGAACAAATAGCTTCTATGAAATGAGATATTTTATGTTCTTGCATCTGGTCCTATGCTGATCGCGTTGTATTATGAATAATTTTGCCAAAAAAAAACCCCAAAAACAGTTCCAGTTGTAACTTGAATATTTCCATGTAAAAGTGTTGGTTTCTGTGTCTGCCAGAATGTCTCAGATTAAAGATGTAATTTTGGTCAAATCCAAGAGAGATATGCCTGAGAACAGCCCAGCAGTAATGAGAAAGTCAAGAGAGTTAGCTCTACTATTAAACTCCTGGCTTGAATCCAGCATTGTGAAAAATGAAATCCGACTTTATTTTGTATGAAGTCCTTTGACAAGTGATATAATCACCTACTCAAGGCTGGGACTTCCCTGCTTTCTGACAGGAAATAGCAATCTCAGATTTGCGCAATGCAGCATGGAAATGCTTCCTTCACTGTTTTTGCACAAAATGTAGAATTAAGCAACAATTCCAACAAAAAAAAACCAAAAAACAAACAAACAAACAAAAAAACAGGACAAAGAAACATGAGAAGGCTATTATTATTTGAAAGATAGGAAGTAGCCTACCAGCTTCTCTAGCTCTTCTTGAAAGAAATACTTTGTAGACATATATATTCAATAATAATTAGATTAAGAAATCACTAAAAAACGAGCTTTTGATAACTTTAAGTAACAGAAAGCTTCAGTTCTAGAATCTTCGTCACTGTCTGGCTCTGTCTGATTTTCCTGCTTAGGCTATCTGCAAATTTAGTTAAGTCTGTCAATTATTAATATTTTCATGTGTTCAATCATCATGATGTAGATTTTATTTTGCAATACAACACTGAAATATGTAGTTTAAAAAATAAAAAGCAAGCTCTGAAAATTTCCTTGCTCCACTCTTGTTGTCCAAGGTGACAGGATAGTCATGATGAGACTTGCTGATACCTGAAAACTCATTTGCATTCTTATCCATGCATTAGGCTTCTGGGGAAAACATAAAAGATGTGGTGATCCTAAGTGAATCTGACACCAAATTCTGATGGTGCAGATAGCAATTCTCCTCGTTATTATACCCTTATATGCCTATACTGCCCTTTTAGGAATGTCAACAACATTTTTAGAACATTCTAGGAAAGAAAAACTGTCTTTTGAGCAGTTAAGATTGTAGAAAATGTTCCTGCAAAGCAAACATTTCTAGCAATCCTTGGAAGGGTTTGTGAATATGCCAGAAATCTCCACTGTTTGTTATCAAGCACAAGCTGTAGCATTTCCATTACTTAGTCTTTGCCTGACCCTTCATCCTGAACAATCTTTATTCTCTCTCTTCAAGCCTTAGTGATATGTCCTTATATTTTGGGGGGAATATCTTAAATCACATTTACTAGAAGTAATTTTATATCCTTTCTGCACTGTAACAATGCTGAATGTCTTCCAAACATCACCCTTTTTTTTTTTTCTTTTTTTTTGATGAAGCAAATAAAACTTTTGGAGCCAGATACTATCATGAGGATTAAAGAGGAAAGTTTTACACATTGGCCACAAATAGATGTTGATGAACTATTTTGAAAAATAAGGGATTCAGTTTGCTTTGCAGCATCAAGGTTCATCATCCAAGGGAGCACAGACTAGAAGGCAGGTTAACAAGCTTCTGCTAGTTATGACACTGGGGGTCAAGTAAGTCTACTAAAAAGTTAGATCATTGTTGTATCATTTTTTTCCATCACTGCAATACAAAACATGGTTCAATGGTCTCATGACCATTTAAGAAAAGTTTGGAGGTATATGGTTATAAAATACTGCAACCCTTCACATCCCTAGCTATATCATTTTTAATTCTGAAAAGACCTTCCTTTTAGGCCTACTTACATATTTTATCTTACCATTGTTTTAAGTTTGCAGCAAGCAGTAAGGGAGCTCAAACTAACTTTTAACAAAAATAAGAGAAACTTTAAGGAAAATGAGAAAATGAGAAGACAAAATATCTTGTCAGAAAAACCCCGTTCCTCTGTAATCATGTCTAATTATAAATTTGCATAATATCAAAATATATGAACTAAACTAACACAACCTAATACAAAAAAAGGAAAAGAGAATGGTCTTTGTACCTGTAATGGTCTCTGTACGTGAATGAGTCCCTTTAATGACTTGTTTTGTCTACAACCCATGTAGCAGCAACAGAAATTTGGTAATTTCCAAGTGTTGAGGGGAAAGGATGTATTGGAAAGAGGTGAATTGTCCTATTTAATCAATGTTGGACTTTAGCTATATGAAGTATTAATATCTCACCTTCCTTCAAATTCCTAAGCAAAACTAATAAGCCAATTAACTCAAATTATTCAGCATACTAGAATAATCGATGCTCTGACAATTAAAAAGTAAAGATTTCCACTTCTGTCTTGTGAATTTGTGTGTGTGTGTGTATACGTATATGCACACAGAACAACTTTAATATAGGATCCCTGCTGACTTCATTTTTTAAATTTTTAGATACTACTACGATACAGCAAACAAATCATGCTGATACACCTCCTGGAGGTATCAAATCACTCATTTCTTTCTAGTCTCAGGCTGTGGAATTGGTCCTATTCATTAATTATTGATTTAAGATTTGAAGTGGGATTGTCTGTCTGCCATCATTATGATAAAAAGTGGAAAAAAAAAAAGAGGTGTGTGTACATTTCATAAGGATTACAAATTCTTTAAAAGCAGGAAAATAATAAGTAAAATGATTGTCATGAAGTGTTGTGGAAACAGCACAGGAAGGGAGGCAAGGGCTGGAAATGCAGAAGGGCTTGGTTACTTTCTGAAGTGAGTTTAAGTCTTCCATTAATCAGCGTCTTTATAGCAGTTTTTCACTGAATGTTGCATTGAAGTTCTTCAAGATTATTTTTTTGCCTTGTGATTGTCATGATATGGAATGCTAAATCAAATGTGAATTACTGCCTACTTTACCCTATTTTTAAACCAGTGAGCTACGCACCAACTTTAGCAACTTAGCAAGACCCTGGGACTCAGCAGAGCTTTGAACTACTCTCAGCATTCCCCACACTGCTACTCATAGTCATATGCAAACTACTTTTTGTGGCTGTTATCTTCTGAAAAATGTTGGGATGAGAATACTGGTGAAAAGGGCTGGTTAACCTTCTTTTAATTAGTCAAGAAAACACAAAAATTTCTCATTTGCTAGCAGGCAGCAAACGCATTTCATTAACCCAAAACTACAAGGCTGAAAATACCATGTTCTTCTGCTTGCCCATCCTGTTCTAGCTGCTCCTGGGTCTCTCCACTCTGTAATGGCAGGTTTCATACATATGGGGGGCTAACCTGGCTCTGCCCTTGTGACATCAGAATGCTGTTGCCATGTGGAGCACAATGGCATCATGCAGTTTCTCCCTGTCAGGGCTACCTCTCACCCAGCCCAGGCAATTGCCTACTTCAGCATGGAATGCATCTACTCCATTATGGAGCTCTGAAATGCATCATAATCCATGAGAAATATCAAGATAAATGAGCAGCGCCACACCAATGAGGATATGGAGTAGAGGAAACTCTGAAAGATATGGAAACATGTTAAATTAATGTGTCATCAGTAATTTTAATTATATTTGAGGAAGAAATCCCTCAGTAGCCAGTAACTGTTGTTAGTTGTCTTGTCCACGATCTCTGTTTGTATCTAAAAAATTAACTCTAACAAACCTGACAACAGTTTTGTAAAGCTTTAAAACATTTAACCACACAAACATGCAGAATTTCATACGTGTGTGTGTGTGTATATATATATATATGAACAGCACATGTGAGATAAACAATTGTTAAATGATTTCAGTGCTCTGAAGAATCATAAAAAAAATACACTAATAAAAAAAAAAAATAGATAACCACAAATATTGTTGAAATATATTACCTCAGGGACTTGTAAGAAAATCACCAATACTATTTTATAGACCATTAACTGTAAATTACTTTCTCCTTTGGGCAAGAATTTTATCCTTTTTCATTATTATTAATTAAAACTAGCAATGTTTCTGGATAAAAAAAATTGTTGAAAAACTATGAAATACCATTTCCTTGGAGAGGCTTGTATAAAAATACTACCTGAGTTATTTCCCCTGAGAAACACTTTACATATATGAGAAATGCCAGTGATTAGAAATCAGTGACTTTATTAACTATTAAAATGTATATAATAACAGCTTGAGAAAATGTGTACACGTGTGTGTATGAATAGTCTTGTTTTTCTTTTAGCAAACTTGAAACTGGGCTGGACAAAGTCAAGCTTTGATCAGCAGGCTGTGTTCCTGTGAAGCTTTTTCTGAGATAATATAGCGCCAAAGAAAGAGTATATGTTGGAATATGTTCAGTGATACATTAATATGGTTATATGCCTTGAATTGCCGCCTGATAAAATGAACTCTTTGAACTCTAAACTCATCTGTGGATTCTTGCTGTTGGAGTCCAAGTTAGATCAGATGCTCTATCACATGGGTTACATGATGCTTAAGCATTGTAAGTTAGGAAATGTAATAATATATGCTCTGTACTTTATTACTATCTTTACCATTTGGTAAATGTTAGATTATCCTGTCTGGGAAACAATGAATTAATGTATTATTTTAATAGGAAGAGAATTTTTTAACTGTAGGCCTTTAATTTTCTGGACTGAAGGTGAACTTTAAAATCTGCAGAGGATCTGAAGGGATCCTCTGCAGTGGAACAAGGTATACGTTTGGTATAGGAATTTTCCATCAGATTTTTTAAATTATTCTCTGACTTCGCAGAAGACTTCTGAGGGGGAAGTCATTATTGGTGTTCTTCATAACATTCTGGTTGTTTGTAACATGCTCAGACTTTATCAGACTTCAATTTTTTTGGCAATGCAGAAATTTTCTTCTTTGGAAGTATATTTTGGAAAGTAAATAGATACAGCCAGACATAGTGGTGTTAACTGTGTGACTTTGAACTTGGAGTATCCCCTTGCCTTCTCTATGAGATCAGGGAATGCAATTCTATGATTCTGCTGTTCCGTGACGAGCGCTGCAGTGCACAAGGGTTATTTGGGCATTAAATAAGTCCCATTCAACATTTGAAAATTTATCCAAAAAAATCCTCCCTATATTTACTGCAAGTAAGAAGAAGAGCAGGGCAAATGCCAAATTAAGGGCTATCACTTGAGTATTTATTATTTACTTGTTTAAACTAACTTTATTTATATTTTATATTGTATAGTGGACTTGATGTAGGACCAATTATCAGTTTTTATACTTGGTCTATTGAAAATGGTTGATTTTTCCCTAGACCTGTGTTTCCTTAATACCACTGGCCAAATCTACATTCTGATACACTGTTTCTTTAATGGCACATTGAGTCCTCAATTCAGCTACTCACGTCTCTCATGTATATATAAAAACACTTTGACAGTCTAATCAGAGCTTGAAAGCCTATTCCTATTTTACCTCAGTGCTTTGAGCTCTTCACATTCCATGCTCTGCTTTTTGAACTGGATGATGTCTTCAGTTATGGTATTGCTTTTACATGCTTTTTCCTCTTTTCTAATACCCTGGTTTTCTGCCTTTGGTTGGTAGATGCCTTCAAAGAAGAGGTCTGTAAAAGGTTACTAAGGAATGATTTATATTGGATCTTTAACAGAAAAAAAGGTTAAAAATTTCTCTAATCATTTGAGTTGTAAAGAATAAATGATAACAATTGTTAGTATCTTTTCTGTTTTTTATTGGTTTAGTTAGTAGGAGGAAACATCATGTAATTTTAATCAGTTGGTGTCTAATAGTAGATGAACTGAAGAAAATAGTTTCAGAAAACATTTTGTACTCAGAATAGAAATACATTTAAAAGTTTTAGTGCATTGTAATTTTGTGCATTTTTTTTTAAACACATTTCAATAAAAACAGTTTAGAAAGACTCACTTAGAAACTGCTTTGTTAGCAAATCAGTGAATCTAGGATGATTTTATCAATATTTTGCTGGCGTCCAGCTCCACTCTTTTTTGTTTGGATAAGCTATTTAACCCTCGTTAATGTGCCCTTCTTGCTTCTCTGAATCTCAGTCCAGAAAGTAAAGACCAGTGGATGGATTGTTATAAAGATCATTAACCTGGATTGTCACATACCACATGACTTCATGCTTTTATGTATCTCAAAATTCCATTCAAGTCAGTTCTGAGCTCAGGAGAATACATAACAATATTACAGTCTAAAGTCTGGTGTGCTATGTGGAAATCTGCCATTCATCTCCCATGAAAGCTAGGAATCACGGAAAGATATTGATGTCTCATTCAACGTTTAGCATAGGTAGCTCAATTCCTATTACTGGAAATAACTAGACTATGTACTGATACAGAAGGTGATAAAACTATTTTGTTTTATACAAAGAAAAGCATTTGACATACTTGGAAGTCTCAGATATGGTTTAAAGAAACACAATATTTTTGCAGTCTCAGTGGGGATTTATCTTTTGTTGGGATAAATTATCACTTAATTGACCTCTTATTCCAACTTTGTCCTGTGTAAGGCCATAGATAACTTTCTGTTGATGAATATTTTCTAGACTGATCTTTCCATCCTTGCTTGCTGTTCCTCTCTTGCCCTGGACAAGTGTGGACCTAATGGTATAAATAACACTACTGATATGTATGTAACATTCCAGTAAAAATTTTTAACCTAGATCAAAAATCAGATGTGGATAATAGCGTAAACTTCTCATAAAAAAAACTGATGGGATCCTATAAAGAAAGAGTAGATCCCTTCACTGTGAAAAATAAGATGCAAAGTTGTACTCTGCATGCTAATCCTTACTTTACTCAGCATGTGAGGAACGTCTCCGTGCTTTTTTCAGTACCTATGGGGTGATTTGGAAAAAGGCCATCTGCCCTTTTTATGCCCTGTGGCATAAAAAAAAATAAAGATGGCTGCTGCACTTAACAATACACACAATTAAAAGAATTTGAGCCCTTTGAGATCTATTTGGAAATATGATTGTAAGGGAATTGGATTGCTTTGCAGTTATTAACCATTGCAGAAAAGACAAGGGAGAACACATGATCAAAAGACTGATAAGATTGCTGCAGAACTCAGAAGTTGGAAAATGTTTATATTAAACTTTTAATTTAGTTAATCAGTTCTCTGTGTGTTGCATTTTGTAAAAACGTTCACTGTATGTGTTTATGGGGTGGTTCAGACCCACTGTGTGTAACTAAGCATTGTGGATAGACACTCCCTCAATGGTATAGACAGCTCTGTTTCATTGTGTCTGCACCAATTAAGTCTTCCATTAGGTTTTTGATGTCTTGGCTGCTTTCTTTTCTGACATACACAATGTGAAGTGTTTCAGAAGACTGGCCATGTTGTCCCTCAAAGTAAGGGCTCCTGTACTTGAAAGTGTACAGAGATCATAATTTTGCTCACAGCTTTAACAGACCATGTACTCTAAAGGAGACTAAAAAGACTAATAGATTAAAAAGACTGCCCTGATTCAGTCAATATCTTCCATTGGGATGGCGTCTCAAGTCCATCATTCTTTCTATACCACTACACCTCTTTCTGTTTTTCATTGAATTTATACTGCAAAGATGGAGTAGACACTCGAACACTCTGACTATGATTGTACTAGTAAAGCAAACATGCCAGGGTGCTCACTGTTGCAGAAGGCAGATGGTATGTATTAGACCACATCTACAGTAGTAAATTTTCAAGTGTGTGCTTGTACCAACAGAAGGTTGCTAGCAAAGTTCATGGAAGAGAATATGTTTTTGTGCCTAATCACCTATTTGTCTGGCTGTCATGTGTGCCATTTACCTTTACAGAATTGTAGAATCATGTGAATTGGAATGGATCCTTAAAGATCATTAAGTACCGTTACCCTGCAATGATCAAAGACATTCACTGCTAGATTAGGTTGTTCAGAGCCCCTTCCAGTCTGTCATTGAATGTCTCCAAGGATGGAGCATCCACCCTCTCTCCAGGCAACCTTTTCCAGTGCCTCCTTATTGTAAAAGAGTTCTTCCTTACAGACAATATAACTACTCTTTTTGTTTGAAACCATTTCCCCTTGCCCTGTCACAGCAAGCCCTGTTAAAGAGTCTGTCCCCTTCTTTCTAGCCCCCCTTTAGATAATGAAAGGCCATTATCACATCTCCCTGGAGCCTTCTCTTCTTGAGGTGAAATTATCTGATTAAAGAACAAAATACTGCTGTGCCTTTAAGTGTATAAGAAAAATACCTGTTCCCAGCGCTTTCAGATCAACAGTCTTTGTATAACAAATGTCAATACATATTGTTTGTAGCAGCTATCAGTGATCTTCAGGATGCCTGAGCACCTGAAAT